TTATTCCTGCTCTCTTTGAGACATGGGTGCTGTGAATGGGCATTACTCATATTGGAAACATTTTTCTCCTTAATGCCACAGGAAGCTCCTGGAACACATTTTGGCAAGCCATGAAAGTACTAACAGCAGCTGAAAACATCAGTGCTCCTCAGCACTTGCTGAATCAAACTATCAAGTGCCAAGTTGGATTAATGGTTTTCTATGAGTCATTCCTATGTTGTCCAAGTTTTCAAGCTTAACCACCAAGAAGATTCCCCAGGAAAAAAGAAACCTTTTAGGTTATAACAGCTTCCAAAATCTGTAACTGTACTTAAAAAAAAAAAAAAAAAAAAAAAAGCTGCAATCTCTTGTCTTGCCCTACTATGAAGTCTTTTCCCTCCATCCCTACCCTATGAACTAACCAGAATATTTGTATTTGCAGCTTAACAAAATGGATATTCTTAAGGATACAGGCTATTGCTTCTCTGTGACAAAGCTGTTTGTGGGACATTTCAGACAGGCACAGGAGATGAGCAAGGCCCCAGATGTTCAATGGCTCTGAGACCATCTTGCCTCAGAAGTGTGCTTCAAAATCCAAGACTGCACTTAGATACAATAAAGTTCCCAGCCCTTATTAAAACAAATGAACAGATGTCATTCTGTCTGCTGCTATTAGGTTATCAGATACAATAGCTCTGAGAAACAGTAGCCTAATTTTCCCTGTCCACAAGGTTCTTACCTGCAGCCCCAATATTGCTTCACCTCACGGAAAGGAACCAGGACCTCTACAGTTATGGTCACTGTTTTACAAGGAAGCACTCTGATGATGGAGAAGAGAGGCTAGCAGAGAGATAGGAAGAGAAGGAGACACTGTCTATACAGCTGCCGTAAAGACTCTAGGGCTGCGTTCAGATGAATACAGCTGTGCAGTATGTGGTTCTGCAGACAGACACATCTACAGCACCACATACCACACATTCAGCTGTTCTCCATGCTGCAAGGGAGCAGCACAGTGGGTTTTTCTGACCACTGCACATGTAAATTCAGGAGAGATCCAGGGGTCAAAAAAACCCATGCAAAAAAAACAAATACGGAGTGGTGCACGCGGGGGCAGCATGCGTTACTTAAAATTGGAGCCTGGCTGGCTGGATGTGTGGGGAAGTGGGCACAACTGAGGGGAGCAACAGGCTACAGTTAGACCTAGATAGGTTACAAGGATGGGCGGAGGAGAACAGGATGGGGTTTAACACGGACAAGTGTAAGGTGATGCACCTGGGGAGGAACAATCGGCACCATACATACAGGCTGGGGAACTCCCCTCTTGTCAGCACGGAGGTGGAAAAGGATCTGGGAGTCATTATTGACTCCAAGATGAACATGAGTCGGCAATGTGGGGAGGCGGCTAGGAAGGCCAACTGCACCTTGTCGTGCATCCACAGATGCATCTCGAGCAGGTCCAAGGAGGTGATCCTCCCCCTCTATGTGGCACTGATCAGGCCGCAGCTGGAGTACTGCGTCCAGTTCTGGGCGCCGCACTTTAAGAGGGATGTGGACAGCATGGAGAGGGTCCAGAGGAGGGCCACTCGTATGATCAAGGGACAGCAGGGTAGGTCCTATGAGGAAAGGTTGCGGGACCTGAACCTGTTCAGCCTTCAAAAGAGAAGGCTGAGGGGGGATCTTGTGGCCTGTTATAAACTGGTTAGGGGGGATCAGCAGGCGCTGGGGGAGTCCCTGTTCCCCCGAGCGCCGCAAGGAGTGACCAGGAACAATGGTCACAAGCTGGCGGAGGGAAGGTTTAAGTTGGACATCAGGAGGCGCTACTTCACGGTCAGGGCAGCTAGAGTCTGGAACCAGCTTCCAAGTGAGGTGGTGCAGGCTCCCACCCTGGGGGTTTTTAAGAGGAGGTTGGATGACCACCTTACTGGGGTCATTTGACCCCAGTGCTCTTCCTGCCATGGCAGGGGGTCGGACTAGATGATCTGCTCAGGTCCCTTCCGGCCCTAGAAACTATGAAACTATGCTCCAGCTGCTAGCCAGTCTCTGAGTGGCAGGATCCCCTCTGCTGCAGCCCCAGTAGGCCCCTAGGACCCCAGGTAAGGATGCTTGAGCCAGCCCAGTGCTGGCCCCAGCCTCCCCTACCTCACCCAGAGCACCCTGTGACATGCCAGAGGGTGCATGGCATGGGTATTTCCCAGGGACAACTAGTGGTGGCACAAGGTGTCCTGCTGCTAGTTGTCCTTGGGGAGCCAAACATCCATGCTCATGTGGATGTGGGCACGGGGTTGGATGTTGCAGGGAGCTTTATACTCCATCTCTTGAGTGATATTGTAAAATACTGTGTTTTCTCACATACAAAACATCTAAGAATATAATGTGCACCCTGTTTATGAAAGGCAGAATGAAGAAAAAACAATCTTTCCTTGTGGTAAGTAACAGAGTAGCACCAGCCAGGGACCAGAGCCTGCTCAGTGTTCCCTGTAGGGACAGAAGTTACACATAAACCAGTTTAAGTGATCAGAAACCAGTTCAAACCTGTAACAGAACAGAAGTTCAGTGCACATAAACCACTTGCAAAATGGCTGAAACTGGTTTAAATTATATCTGGATGGATGTAGTATCAGACTTAACTGATTTAGGTTAAATCAGTTTATTGAACTTCTGTCCCAGATCCCCTCCAGATTCAAGGTAATTCAATTTCCCAGCTTCCCAAGGTGCTTTTCACCACCTCCAGAAGCTCCCTCCTCACAGAGTGGGCAGGCTACGCTTGATCCAAGCTGTCTGCTTCAGCTAAGAAGGGAGGTGTGGTCTAGCACCCCCCACCCCTCCAACTTCTGGCCTGGGCATGTGGCTGCATTTCTAGAATCAAAAGTAAATGTCGGTTCTTTTGCTTATCTGTTCAATCTACACAGTTTAGAGAAACCTGTATAGATTGAATCAATTCAGCCTTGGGCTTTTTGACTATCTGTACTTAGCCTGTGAGTCTTGTATATATTTTTACTTGGACTTTTGCCAGTAATTGGCAGAAACTGTTTTAACCATATTTACTGCATATAATGCACCAGCATCTGGTTGGGGGTGGGGGGAAGTGTGTGGTGTATGCACGAACATGCAGTAACCTGTATCCCTTACTCTTTGTATTCTTCCTCTGATATATTGCAGCTCATGTGCTGCAGGACTCGGGGAGCCCAGTGGTAGCCTCTGGGGGTTATAGTGACATCAACCCCATCACACTGGGGCTCCAGTAGAGCTCCCTACAGTATGACTGCTGGGGGCTCGCCTTCTTTAGCTCATGATGAACACTGTCCAATCATCTCCATGGGTGGGGGCAGGAGTCAGGGCAGCAGGCAGGCTATATTGCTCCCTGCTGGTCCTGAATGGGCCTGGCTGTCAGCAACCTAATTACTTCCCAGTTGTATGCATGAGCATGGCTGCCTGCTTAGCAGCAGCCCTTTCAGTTCATGGTAGGCTACTTAACAGGACAGGTGCCTCTCTGTTAGCTTTGGGCTCTTGGCCCCTTGTTTTTACTTATCTGGTTGCTGTCTGCTGGTTCCTAGTTTTGCAGTTCTGTGTTCCTGCCAGCTGGCCCTTTTGCCCACATTCAACCCTGGATCCCTTTGCTCTGGACTTGCTGGTTCCTGCCTTAGCTTGGCAATTGCCCACATCCTGGTCCCTTGCAGTGGCAGGTGCCTGCTCTGGACCCCAAAGTTCATGACTCTGATCTAGATTCCAGCTTCTGGTTTCTGACTCCCTGGCTTGTGGCTCTGTTGCAGTGACTGCCTCTGTCTTGGTGCCTTGCAGACCTTTATCTCTTAACCCAGCTGCTCCTGACTCTTGACTCTAGCCTGGACCAGGGGACAACCTGGTCAGGGTTTGGGGGATAGAAACAGCATAACCCTGGGGCTGTGGAGAGTGGCTGGCTTTTCCTACTTAAAGGGCTGTGCTAGGGACCCATGCAAGTGTTTGCAAGGCTAAGTTAACCCCATGTCCATCTAAAGTTGGTTCTTGTCTGATGAGAACTCACTTTAGATAGGGCATGCCATTTTGGGGGTGTCCTGAAGCCAGTGAACACTTGCACATTGGGGAATTTAGATCTTCTTAAGCTTGGTTAGGATGATTTAAATGTCACACTTGTACATACTCTTAGGCAATACATTTGTTCGTCTTCTACTGCTCCCAGTCCTGAACTGCTTTCTGCTTTTCCCAAGTTCTAAAAATCTTGGGGAAAAAAGGAAAAAAGAAGGCATCCTGAGCTGGAATGGAATGATAAACAGGGAGTAATATTTTTAACATGCTTAATTGCATGTCTCTGTGTCAAATGAATCCCTTCCAGCCCATTTAAACTTCTCTTCTTTCATATTGTCTACAGGGGTTTGAACATTATTTCTGCTTGAACTCATTGCAACAATTGGCTCTGGAGCTACAGCTGTGCTTCCTCAGTCACTACTGTCTGAGCCTTAAGCCTGTCTTCATGGGAGCCACAGAAACTTTGGCTAAGCAGAAACATTTGAAAAGCCCTAGGTGGAAGCTATCTAAGTTATGTGGTTTTCTGTACGTGTTACAGGTTAGATCAGTAGTGAATGGAGCACACATTTGCCCTTTGGTTGGGAGGGAGAGGGGCATGCAGGCTGCCTGCACTGGCTGAGGCCAGCAGGTAGGGGTGCTCTTGCATGCCTCCCAGAATGTCCTGTCAGATCCTGGGTTGCTGGAGACTGCTGAGTGCAGCCAAGCACCTGGGCAACCCCTGAGTGGCTGCTGGGCACAGGTGAGCATGCCCCCAACCCCCTGCTACTTCATCTTGCAACCACAGGCATCTGTCAGCTTCAGGCAGGGGGTGGGGAATGGGAGGCATCTGTTTTCCTGTGCGTGAGCCCTGACATCTGGGCACCCGTGTCCCAGGACCTGGCCCTGTACCCCATCACGAAACACCCCACGATATACACACTGCCCTGACACAGAGCCCAGGAGAATCCTCCATGCTCGGACACAGCCCCATGGAGCCCAACTGAGCTGCCAGGCAGCTTTTTTGTGACTCAATCTTAAAGGTAAGATGCAGTTGTTACAAAAGTGGTAGATGCATTAAGGGTTTTTCAGGACTTCAGCAGGATGGAATACAATTGCCCATAGGTGCCCGAGTTCAGTTAGATGCCTAACAGGTGGAATAGAGCCTGGCCCTTAGTGTAAATGCAGTAGTATCAATAAACTATAAATTATTACACCATAATACTATAGTAGTACTGTACAATGCACAGCTTGCTTGTATAGTTGCAGCCACCTGAGTAGCACTTTCCTGATATACCATATACTTTTCTTATACTGGGAAATGTTCCTTGTAGCTTTAATAACTATACTGGAGCCCTAGGAGATTGACTACCTATATATGTATAAAATAATGCATACAAAGTTTGCAGGACTCTCTTGCAATTGTGGAGTCCTACCAGTGGGCAGTTTAAAAAATTGAAATGAATATCGTATCAGTATATGTATGTCATATTTTGGTTTTCTTCTCTCAGCATGAAATAAGCTCCATAGTAATTTTGTTTACTTGGCATCCAAGAGGTAAAATTTGGTTTGGCAGTTGCATTTAGCAAAACATTGGAAACTTGAGGGGAAAAAATATCATCTGACAAGGAAGGTCAACCTAAATGCTAAGAACTGGGGTGCTGTGAATTTAGTTTGTCAAAACTGCTTTTCCAGTCTCCTTCCACCATTGGCCACCTGGCAGAAATTTAACTTTTTTTCCTTTTCTTAGTGGATGAAAAGCGTAGTCAGAAATAGCCGCTGAGTTAAAATCATGTGCAAAAGCTCCTTTTGTGCTTTTGTTTCCTAATTGCTCTTGGAAGATTTTTCAGATTGAGCTGACGCAGTTGGTGTATGAATTTCCTGGCAAATGAGGAAGGTGACTGCATCCAGAAGACGTTTCAGAGTGTGAATTCACAGCCTTTCCGTGTCTAATCAAGGAATGTAAACCATTAGCCACATGTTCTCCATTTCCATCACATTTTTTCACACTTAAACAAAAACATGCCAAAGAAAAGGTGTTACATTCTTTAATGCCCCCAAATAGGAACCACAGGAGTCCGTTAAATGTGGTGGCCGTTTCCAGCATGCAGATCAATTTTCCCTGTGGTGGTGAAGTGGTGAATAATGCCTGGCTTGTTTAAGGAGGCATGACTGATTTTGGATGAAGGATCCTGTCACTTTGGCATTTTTCATTTTATTTATTGCACACAACCGTATAAAACTTGGTCCTGATCTAAGTGCCAGGCGTAATAGTGGAAATAGCTGAAAGGACCACATAACTACTGGTGGAGTAAAGGGGCTTCTCCTGAAAGGCATTTTCTGGACTCCTGTGAAATTATTTTGAATAACATGGCAGTCAAGGATTTCATCAGCTGGCATCTGCTGGCTTTATTTTTTCTTCCATTTTGCCTGTGTCAAGATGAATACGTGGAGGTGAGCAGAGGATCTTATAAACCAGTGGCCAAAGTATTGCAAAGTCATCACCAGACTGGCCATAAAGGTTCCAGAAGCAGGGAAATATTGAGACAGCGGAGTCAACTTGTAGAGTGGACGATTGATGATAATAGCACTTCTACAGACCAAAAAGCCCAGAGACCAGAGGTAGATGATGTAGAGCAGACTACCTCAGACAGAGTCCAGGTACTCTGAATTAATCTTCTAAAGATAACTTTAAAAGTTAATGAAAATTTTCTAAGATATATATTTAAGAAAATAAGATTATTAAAGATGCTTATTGGTCTGTATGCTGGTGGGTTGCTATACAGAATCTCTTAATTAGGTGGTAGAACGAACCATGGTGTGGGGAAATGATAACAACACAGCCAGCATCCCATTGTTCTACTGAAACCTTGATCCTGTTCAACCAGGTATTGTAATATACAGTTTCTCAATTCATGTGTCATTTATTTTCTAGCAAAATAAGGCTTTATGATCAACTTATTATATCCTTTGAAGAAAGAGGAAAATTATGGACTTTGTAAACAGATGTTATGTATAAGGACACTGTTCTGTTGGCAGGGAAAATACAGTTTACTTTAAATTTACGTGTAAGAAAATATATCCTTTTAAGCTTAGGAAGGTAATTTTAATGCAGTACTGAATATTTTCAATCATTATTCTGTGCAGTGTTTGTTTTTTCTTTTAACTCATGGCACTTTTATTGGGTTTGAGATCTAAATATGTTTAATGATATATCAAATTGCTGACACTTTAATTTTATTTTTTTGTAAAAAGAGCTAAATGAATGCTGTACAAATGTCTGCAGAGTTTACTTTTTATACTGGGAAGTTTTTATAATAGTTGTTATATAGCGTTTAACTATTCTAGGCATTAGTTTCCCACAAAGGAAATTTGCCATCATTTGGTCATACATAAAATAGGACAATTCAGGGGGTTTTTTTGTTTAAAGGAGTGAAAGTTGTAGAGGATAGCATGAAACTTGAGTAATAAATAGGAAGTTCTATTGCAGGCTGAAGTTTTTATGTAGTTTATTTTACACTCAGTAGCAAAATGCAATATTATTCTCAGTCACTACTAAATGCAAATGATTTGATCATTACATTTTAGCTGACAGAATTGTATCCTTTTTCAACTTAACCATCGCAGCTTGTATTTTAAAAGCAGAAAGAGGCTGATGTGGGTTGAATGGCTGATTCACAGCTGTTTCATGAGAAGCAGAGATGAGCTTAGGTAATGTTGAGGAGCTTAAGGAGTACATTCAAGTATGGCAAAATATAGGTTTAAATACTATAACCACACTGCACTGTATACAAGCTTTTTGACATAATCAGGAAATATATTTAATATTATTTAATATTAATTAAATTGTATGTGCTATAAAGAAACAGTATAACTAGTAGGCATATATAATAATGAACCCATTCGTGTATGTTCCCATGAACTACCATGCAAGTATATATCTTAAACCTTATGCTGCTAGCAATTAAAATGATTTTCCACATAGCTGAGTGGTTAAGGTGCTAGACATGAATTCTTAAGGGTTTGAAGCCCACTTCTGTAGCCCTGCTTTTGGGGGTTGGAACAGATGACTCTTGAGGTCACTTCTGACCCTGTAATTCTAATTTCACACCATCAGCAATGGGGCAATCAAATGTTGTCATAGATTGTACCCTAGAAACACTTCCTACAGGATGGCAAGTGAGTTGTGTGCTGGGCATTGTGAGCATCTGTTTATCTTAGCATTCCATATTATTTGGTTGAAAATTACCCACCTGCTAGAGAAATGCAAATATTATCAGGCTCAACTCAGAGAATAGCTGCAGGTACTTGGGGTAAAAACATATGGCCATCTAGTGAGTGAAAAAGGAAAAATGTGTAGGTTACTAATGCTTCAAAATCCTCTGTAACAATTTTCATAGTGTTTTCCAAGTGCATATTAACACTGGGATGGCAGTAGAACAGTCTTTTGATAAGTGCTTTTACTAAGGCATTTTAGTAAAAAACAACAACAACAAGGATTTAAATGCTGAGCACATAGGGAGCAGAGGAAAGAATTTCTGCCTTTGAATGCCTTCAGATTCTCCTGCCTCCCCTCCCCACCTGGTGAATTGCTGTTTCTCATTCTACTGTTCCTCAGCATGCTGCTACTGCTGCCATCTCAGACTTTAGGGCTAGGGACAGGCATTCAAAAAGCCTGAGCCTGCATTGATTCAATCTTTGCAGGTTAGTTTAACCTGGCTAGGCTGAACCAGTTTATAACTGGACAGACATTCTCTCTGGACTGAGGAAATGCAGGCACATACCCGCAGTAGCTCAGGCCAGAAGCCGGAAGCGGGGGTGGGAGGGTGCTACAGCAGCCCTCCCTTCCCTTTTATAGTGCTAAACTAAGGAGGGCCGTAGCCAGGCCCCAGCAGGATGCTCTGATTAGGGAGGTCTGCCTGCACCATCCCAGGCTTTTTCTTGCTGGCTGCTCAAGTGTGGGGGGGGAAGTGTTGCTGGACCCCAGCCCCCAGCTAACACTCTGAGGCAAGGGAGGGTGTGCAATGCATGCATCTGTTGGTGATACGGAGCTTTTAAATCTCCCTTCTTGCTTCTTTATACTGTCTGCAGCAAACTGACAGGCAAGTAAACCAGCAGGGGCTGATAACAGTGTTTATCACCCCATTGGCAAAACAATAGCCTCTGTCCATTAGTTCAAACTCTTCTTAAACAGCTTACCAGCTGACCTGTTGATTAGCTCCAACCTGTTGATTAGCTCTAAAGGATCACTGTTCTGTGTGCCTGTCCCAGTGAAATCGGAGACACACAGACACCTATCAGCATTAGCTAGCATACCACATGCCTAGGGTCCATGGGGCTGGGGTCCATGCTGTGGGAGATTGGAGGGAGGAAGGTAGGTGGCGGATTCCTGCTTGAGCAGCGAGGGTGGGGTGGGGTGGGGTGGGGTGGGGCAGAGGAAGCCAGGCAGACCCTACTGTATCTGCAGCCTCTGCCAGACCTCCAGCCAGGGAGGAGAGGGAAAGGGCCAGCCCTGCTGTGGAGCAGAGAGCCTTGCCCAGCCCAAAGTGCATGCTGGGATGCTGGGGGTGTCTGGTTTATCTTAAACCAGCAAGGGGTCTGGGACAGATATTGCATAAACTGGCTTGACTCAAACCAGTTAAGTCTGATACTACATTCAACCAGATTTATCTCAGACAGGTTTCAGACATTTTCAAACTGGCTTATGTGCACTGAATGTCTGTTCTGTTACAGTTTTAAACCAGTTTCTGATTACTTAAAATGGTTTATGCGTAATATCTGTCCCTAGCCTAGAGGGTACTTCAAGCAATGGAGGCACAAAAAAAAGTAGTATTATTGCTCCCATTTCTCCTCAGTGACTGCAGACCTGCTAATCTAGGAGATTTCAGGGTAGGTCCTCAAACATATTTCAGTAGAGTGCATTGAAAGCCCCCTTGGAGTTTTTTATTCTATTTATTCTGCTCTCTCTCACATGGCATGCTAGTGAAGGACTATACAATTTGAATGGGGTGCGGGGGGAAGGTAGGCACTACATTTTAATTTAGTTTTGGTTAGATGATTTAATACAAATTGCCTGTAAGTAATAGAACTTCTAGTCCCAGATGCAGAGTACCATTGAAATACATGGGGACATGTGTATAATTATTCATGTTATTTTTACACGTACTGTGTGAACTGCTTTTTGGGTGAAAAAGTGTGACTCTAACCAATAAGAATACAGTTGAATTTATGGTATTTGCATATTATTTCAGTGTCTGAGAGAGAATCTCCCTTGCAGAGAGAAACAACTCATGAGTCACTTAAAACGAGATGAAACAGTAGCCAGGATGCAATAGGGAGAGTCCAGCATGAGCTGGCTAGTAGAACAGATGGATTATATTTGCACAGTCTGTTTATTTTGGGGGAACAAATGTGGCTATAAGATGTTCCAAGGGATTTGTCATCACCATCCCTGGTAAGCAGAGCTGCCAGGAGCTGATCTAATTTATGGTGAACACCTTTCCACAAGAGCTGACTGTGAGCTGCTTGGTATTAATTGCATCCTGCAGACTTGGATCTGCATGTAGGATGCCCACCAAAGGATCTGGGAGTACCTGAAGCCCCAGGCAGGGGTGGAGGATGCTTGCCGGCAACAGGGCTACACATGGTTTTTGAATGACTCATGGCTTTGGAATTGTTTTGGCTGATTTGACTTGGGACGTGACAAATTTTCTATAGATACAAAAAAAAAAAAGTCTCGGCCTTGAATGGCTTGGTGTAGTTAGAGGGTGAAAGCCTGTCCCTTGCACTGTGGACAGGTCAACCCCTGCGAGAGTTTACAAATGCTTCCAAATGCGAGGATCTCAGCTACACAATTTATGGTGATGGGGAATTGCTTTTGGGCTTTCCCCCTAGCTTGCTCCTTCAAACTTTTGGCTAGGGGAAAGCGAGACTATGTGGTATCTGAACACCAAGACCTTCAGCCTGGACTTAGGATGCCTGCCATTGATTTGGGAGTAGCTGAAGCCTCAGACTGATGAGCCCAGGAAGTAGGATATGTACCGGTGGTAGTGCCACACAGACTTGAATGATTGAGCTCTGCTCACTCAAAATTTGAAACTTAATTCAGAACTGATTTGACCCTGGAAACGAAATTTAAAAACAAATGCCAGCTGAGAATACTTGCAGCTGGCAAGGCAAGGGAATGCCCTGACCCTGAAATGCAGCCCATCTCTAAGATATGCAAGTCGGTGACAGTGCTGAGAGAATTCTCTGCTGGGCCTTTTCTCTTTTCCATTTTCTCTGAAACTCTTACCACTAGAAAAATAACTCTGCCCCTGTTGCCTACCTGGGCAGTGCAGGTGGTGCTTTTAAAATCTGTGGAGCCAGAAAATGTGCTGGGGAGAGTTCTCCTGCTGTCCTGTCTGTGGAGGGAGCAGCAGAGCAAGCCCCCTGCCTTCTCCTCAGATCAGGGACCCTGGTCTGGGGAGCACATACATGGCTTTGCCCCATTGCTCCAGTCCTCTCCCAAGCTGATCTGGGGGAGAGGGGATCAGCAAGGCAACACTCCCAGCCCATGTGTTGTGTCTTTCTGCACCCGTAGATTTAGTAACTGGCAAATTAAGGTAATGCAAACATGTACAGTTTAGATCAAGTTATAGAGCAAATATCCTCAGTGCTCCCTCTCACCCTGATTTCCCACCCATCCCAGGAAAAGTGTGAGAGGCTTTTCACAGCCTACTGAATTGTATTTGTGTTTAGGAAAAAAATTGCATAAACTCTTCAAGCAACAAGTTTGTAGGGACTTTGACATGTGAGTTGGAAATGAATCTTTCCCAGTTTAGGGAAAGTAGCTTTGCATTGTCCATTTTTCATATTTAAGTCTGAAATCCTCAGATTGGTACTTTAAAATGCATTAAAATGTAGTATTCATCTGCATGGAGCTCTGTGTTGCTTGAGACCTCTCCTGAATATTCATTGTACGTGGGACACTGAATGTGACCAGATTTTTCACTCTGAAATCAAAGGATTTGTAAGGATAAAAAGCCAACATGAAGTCAAGAAGTGTGAGGATAAAGTAAGAATTGCCAGAATTCAAGTTGTCTTAGACCTTTCAAAGGACAGAAAAATAAATAGCAAAATGTTCTTCAGTCATACAAATTAAAAAAAAAAAGTTGGGAAAGCAGGGAGGATGGGGTAGAGATTAAGAATAATCAAGGTGTGTTTTCCCAAATAAAAAAATACTTCAGCTTTCCCATAAAGGCAAAGTTGGCAATAGGGGCAAAGACAAGATGCCTAACTGGAACAGGGTGACCATCCATTCCTTACTGGGTGGGACAGTCCTGAAATGTGAACGTCAAGTCCCAGTCCCAGGCTCAATGGCTCCAGGACAGCATTTAGCCCAGATTCCCTTGGACACTGTCAACTGTCATCCCAGTATCATGTTCAGGGATTCAGGTTTTCTGTTTGCCATGAGACAACAGGAAACCATGTGTTTCCCCTTGCAAGCTGGAAGAGTTCCAGCCTGCAAGGGCTGCTTGGGGCTGGGAGAAGCAGGACACGGGGTGCCATGTGTACGTGTATGCATGCACACATGCACATGGCCGGGAACACAGCCCCATGCAGTGGTGGAGAGCAGCTCCCCCAGCTGCCTGCAGGTGAGTCTGGGGGGGGAAGGGGTATAGGCAACACGGGGGGGAGGTGGTGGGCAGGGGGAGGGGCAGACTGAGGCCCCCACAGTGAGGGAGGGAGTGGGGCTGGATTGGAGGCTGGGGCTGGGGCTGGGGTGCTGCTCAGCTGGGGTGGTGCATAGGGCCTGGGTCCCAGGGCCGGGGCAGAAATGCACAGCCATGGGGCCAGGCTGGAGAGAAGGACAGAGCCATGGGTAGCTTGTCCGGGAGATGTCGGGGGGCATGTATCCTGATTTTTGCATCAGGAAAAGGTGGTCACCCTAAGTGGGAGTGAAGATATGAAATTGGAGTTATCATAGAGTCACAGAAAATTAGGACTGGAAGGGATCTCAGGAGGTCATCTAGTCCAACCCCCTGCTCAAAGCAGGACCAGTCCCATTAGATCATCCCAGCCAAAGCTTTGTCTAGCTGGGTGCTAAAAAGAGAGAGAGAAGGGGTGGTTCACTTCAACTAGCCTTTCACAGGCCTTGTAACTTCACTATTTCCTTGTGAATAATTCTGAAAACCACTTGCAGTTTGAAATATATCAGTCCTTGAATGTGAAGTCCACTTGAATGTGAAGCCACTTGTATATACATAATACTTTGGGATGAACATTAACTGTTATTAGCCTTTATTACTGTAATAAATGTGGCTAGTTATTACTATATCCTTGATGCATTATTTTGATAATAGGAATAGTGCCTTGCTGGGAGAGCTCTGTAATCCCTCTTGTGCCCACACATGCACACAATATAACCAAATGCCTGCAATGTTATATTTCCATAAGTGCTTACATTTCAGATGTGCCTGAAAAGTCTTGCACAGGTCTAAGTTACATGTTCACAACACCTTATCTATGTCCAGGTCAGGTTTTGGTATTATTAGAATTTAGTGATTTTTTTTTTTAAACTTACCCTTTTGAAAATCCAGGTCCATGCTCATTCAGATTTAGCAGAGTGAGTTCTTTTTCTTGAAGATGCTCCAAGCCACAGCTCTGATCCCACTGCTTTTTTGCATCCAGACTGGCTTGCCTGACCAGAATCCTGCTGAGAGTATGTGCAGGCGTGCTCCTGTCCCCGTATGCAGTGACTTGCAGGATTCTGTGCTCAGTGGTCTATGATTTTTAGCCACTCAGTTTTTTTTATTTTAATTTTTTTTTTCAAAAGGAAGGTTTTTCTTTGATATTGTAACACAGAAACAATTGAAGGACCTTAGTTTTAAATGGACACTGAGCTTGGGATATGTAAAAAAGAGAAATGTCCCGAGAGTTTATCAGAATATACCAACTTAGGGCTGTAACGCAGCCCTTGCTACCAGGATGCATATGTGTATCTTTAGGCAGTGAAATCCCAGAATGCTGTATTTAAATACTGTGTATTTTTGTGCACTCAGCCCCCTCCGAGCGGACCCCAGAACACGGACTGCAGTGCCTGCTGTCGTGGAGATTTTGGAATGAAACTCTATCAAGGGCCACCAGGACCTCCTGGACCTGCTGGGATGCCAGGTAAAAGTGAAATTCCAGATGCCTCGGTGCTCAGTCTAACTGCAGACTGGGTTCAATGAAGATCAGAGACCAATCCTAGCATCAGAATGGGGATCTGTGTCCAAACTTTTTAGCAATTGGGGTTGAGATTTGGATTCAGGTTTTAGGTTCCTCTGCTTGTGTGTAAAGTGTAGCAGCCATTTTTTCTCTGTGCTCAGTTATGGAAATTCATTTTTTTTGTTCATTTTTGTTGCTTTCCTTCAAATAAAATAAAATAACCCTTTAAGATTGGAAAAAAAAGTCTCTAGTGTATGGAAAACGTGACATAATAACCGAGGTTAGAATTTGGTCTGGTGCTTGCTGTGGAAAGAGGGGCAGCTCTTAAAGGGGTAAAGATAATTAGGCAGTGGAATTGATATGGCAGTTGCCTTCAACAATTTGAAACTGAGTCGAGTCATAAAACAGCTGTGTACTATAAGTGAGTTATGGTTCGGTTAGCTTGCCTCATCCTCTTGACCGTCTACTTTCATTCTCTTGCTGCAAGTTGCTGACGGTAACGGGTATCCTTCACAGCAAACCAGAAAATCTTTCTTGCAGTTGGCTGTTGATATTCCAGTGTTAACAGTTTCCAGTAACTGTTAGATCTGTGACACACTGTGCTGTATAAAGTTATTTAAATAAGCAGCTTTGGATGGCAAAAAAATGTAGAAATAACATGTTACTTGGACATTTTTGGCATTAGCATGTTTTAAGGAATAAGATTTATTAAGTGAATCAGCCATCACCAACCCTCCACTCTGTGTAAATACTGTACTTAGGGGGAATATATGGGAGAGAATTTTACTACAAAAACATAGTTTTTTTAGTTATGGAAAGTAACACCATGAATATTTGCTGTACTAGAAAATGGCATATAATATTCACATTATTTCTTCTTTCCACTGCTGCTACTCAGGGTGGTTTAGTTTTTCAGACCTGTACTTTGCAGGATAGACCTATTATTGCTCTCATCTAATGAGAAACTACAACTCAGCCAAATCCAGGGCAGACTTGTGGACTGTGCCACACCAGCTAAGGCAATGTGGTTTCATGGAGTTGGTAATGACTCCATGACATTTGAACCACTGACGCCAGTAGGGGTTACAGATGTATAACTTAGGGAAGACCCAGGGGGGTCAGATTCAGAGCTGGCTTACATAGTATGCCAGGGTGGTTAACTTGTGGTGCACATGCCAGTAGTGGCACAGACAACCTTTGCATGTGGCACATGGCAGATTGGGGTGGGAGATCTCAGCACAGGGCAAATAGCTCCAGGAGGACAAGGCAGGAAGCAGAAAGCAGGGCACCAGATTGGCTGGGAAGGGGATTGGAGTGGCACCCTGGGAGGGTACAGAGCTTAATTTGTGTCACACATGCCAAAAAAATTGGCTCCCACCATCCTATGCAATCCCAGCAGGAGCATGTAGAGCTGTGCTGACTGTTTTTTTAGTCTTATCCAGTATTATTACAGAGCCTCAACCATAGGAAGGAAGGAAAATACAGTCTAGGAGTTAAGGTGCTAGGTCAGGTGTTGGGAGACCTCAGTTCATTTTCCTGATTTAACAGACTTCTTCCATGACCTCTAACTCACTGAAGGTCAGATTTAATAAAGGATTTAGGTGCCTAGAATGTAGGTGCTGTACTACCTAACTTTAGGACTAGGTAAAGACCGTCAAAAAGCCTGAGGATGTATCGGTTTAGTCTTTGCAGGTTAGTCTAAGATGCACAGATTCAATTGAAACAGAAGTGAACAGACATTTACCTTTGGTTCAGGAAATGCAGCCACACACCTGCAGTGGCTCAGGCCAGAAGTTGGGGGGTGCTAGAGCATGGCTCTCTGGCTGTGTGTTCACTCCCTCTTCCTGCAGCCCCCAAAGTCTCTGAAACTTGCAGTCCAGAATTACAGCAGCAGGACTCTGCAGGGTTGCTCATCACTTCCTCTTCCTGCTTCCAGGTGCCTCTGGGATTTGTAGTCCCCAGTTAGAGCCAGCAGTAAATTTGAGCAGGAAAAGGGGTGTTTAACCCACCTCCCTGGCCCCAGACCTCAATTGGGGTTTGCTGGGGAGAGCAGCTCCCTGCCTAGACTCTGCTGCATCCCCAGCCGACCTTGCTTCCTCCCTCCCCTGCTCTCTTGTCAACCAGCCCTCACTGCTCCAGCTAGTGACCAGGGGGATGGGGCCAGCCCTGTTCTCTAGAGCAGACAGCAGAGCCCAGCCCAGGGCTGGAAAACATGCTGGGGGACTGTGATTTAACTTGAACCAAGAAGGGGTCTGGGTCAGAAGTGTCATAAACCAGTTTGACCAAAATAAGTTAAGTCTGATACATTCAACCGGGTTTATCTTAAACCAGTTTCAGCCATTTTGAAACTGGTATATGTGCACTGATCTTCTGTTCTGTTTACAGGTTTAAACCAGTTTGTGATCACTTAAACCGGTTTATGTGTAACTATGTGTCTCTAGCCTAGAGGTACTTGGCATCTACAGTGAATCCAGAAGTGAGGTACCTTGGCTCTAGGTTAAGTGTACTGTGAAACTTAGATACTGCAAAATGGGATCCAGAGCAGCCACCATGCTCAAACTGGAGCTGCAAAGAGAAAGTACTGAGGACAGGAGTGTATCTGAAACCCCACCTCTTTCTGAGACTTAGATGCCTCTGGGTGCTGCAGGGAGGAACCCTCAGTGCATTTGAGAAGCACAGCTTGGAATCCTCTCCTGAGGGTAGGCATATACCACCTCTCTTTTAAAAAACTGACACGGGCTTGTTCTTTTCTATGGTGGATACCTCCTGATTAGAGGAGTTGCCTAGGATGTGAGACACACAGGTTTAATTCTTACATCAACTGATGGCCCCTAACCACAGAGCTATATCTGTTAGGAAGTGCCCTGCCAGCACCCCTTCTGTTGAAGCTGGGCCACTGGGCAGAACTGTGTGCAAAATTTGTGGGGACAGAGAGTGAATGAATGCAAAAGGAAGTCTTATTTTATAGCCTAGTGGCCAGAATACTCAGCAGAAACAGGGAGCTCTAGGGCATTTATACACATGCTCTGGGAGTGGGGTGGTGGTGCTTTAATTAGAGTGGCTCTCAGAGCCTCTCTAATTAAAGCGCCTGGAGTGTCTTGTTTATCACCACCCTGTGCTTAAAAATGGTGGTGGGGCATTTTATCTAAAGCTCATCAAATGAGCACCATGCACCATTTTTCAGTGTGGGGATGCTGATGCATGAGGTGCTGGAGGCTGCTGGACCGCAATAATTACCATGCTCCAGCAGACTTGATCAGTCAAGTCTTCTCCGATGCACTGTAATTACAGCATGTTGAAGCAGCCTTGCTGTTTGTGTATAGGTGCCTCAAAGTTCTGGTTCTTATTTCCAGGATGGCTTCTATACTTGGCATGATATAGTCATTGTGGGAGGAAAAGACTGAATTTATCTACAACTGGGAAGGCTTCTGCTTGTTACTACAACAATTTATCCACACTTTTTTTTTGCATCTACCAATGGGAATACTGTCCTAATGTGATTCCCTCCCCAACCTTTTTAAAAATTGGATTATAAGGACTCTGTCATTTTAGTTTATGTAGAATAATCCCTTCCTGCTGTTTCTTTTGTTTTTATGTATGCTTTTTTTGTAATTTTGGTTCCAATCATTTTTTTCTTTCTGCATTATGGGACACTTCTTAAATGGCCTCTTCTCATGTATATATGCAAAAGCTGCACATTGCAATTACATTTTTCTCCAACCAGATGGTGTTTGTAAATTTCCGATTTTAGTACGTATGAGTTATGTGTACATACTTGAATAATTACCCCATGGCATCTTTTCTTTTATTGATATTTCTGTTTCCTTTCTCCATCTGATATACTAAATGACATTGGCAGTCTAAGAAAAACTACATTTACATTTAACCCAATTTGTTCAAAGAGTGTTTGTGTTCTTGATCTAACATAGGGGTGGGCAATTATTTCAGTTGGAGGGTCATGCCCTCCCTGCACCAGGAGCACCAAAACATGGGAGGGACATGGCGTGTGACCGCAGAGAGCGGGCGTGAGGGGCATGCCCTGCCCTGTGGCCACATGCTGCAGCTGGCAGGTGCTGCCGGCATCCCCCTGCCTGCTCCCCTTGGGGCTGCCTGTGGCCATGCACCTGCCCCATGACCCCTTTGTGGCCCACAGCTAGCGGGCACCCTCCGTGTGGAGTGTGGCATGGTTCATGGGGGGGGCATGGAGTGCGGGACCACAGGGTGCAGTGAGGGGAGTTGGAGGGGGGGGTGTGGACAGCAGCCACCAACTGCAGTCTGTGGCCATGGGGTGGAGTGTGCTGCCCTGCCCGCTCCCTGTGCAGCACCCGGCAGTCACGCCCCCTCCCCACCCCCACATGGGGAGCATCAGCCCAGGCGCATGGCCATAGGGTGCCATGAGGGAAGCCGGTGCGGGGACCACGCCCCACGCCCCACGCGAGGGGGAGGGGATGTGGGGCATGGCCACAAGGGCAGTGGGCAGTGGGGTGTGGGCAGTGCCCACTGAATGCAGCACACAACTGCGGAGTGGGAAGCGTCCCCCATGCACGCTCACTGCACAGCAGCCAAGCACTGCCCCACACCCCTCCCCGCACTGGAAGATGGCTGTGGGCGGTGGGACATGCGGGGGGGCGGGGCACACAGGTGGCTGTGTGTGTGTGTGTGTGTGTGTGTGTGGTGTGCAGCTGGGTGGGTGGGTATGCGTGATGTGTGGTTGGGTGGGTGCGTGGCATGTGGCACGTGAGCGTATGTCTGAGGTGCGGTGGGCGTGCATGGGGCTGGACACAGAGGAGGGTTGGGGGGTTGTGTGTGGCAGGATGTGGAACAGTGGTATCACTGGGCGGTGGATGGTGGAACTCTGTCCTTGCCACCTGCTTGTCATTCTTGATGGGTACTTTGCTAGTAGCTCAAAATAAAGTCCTACTTTTGTATATTGTGTGTGGTGGGTGTGGCGTGTGAGCAGGGAG